CAGAGAAGAGTGGCAATAGTCCCCGGGAGGTAGCCTGTGGCTGAGGGGAGGGAGAGGAGCACAGAGCGGGGTGGGCAGGAGATGGCAGAGTCAGCTCATGCTCAGGGAGCTGAATGAATGGGCCTTGAGTGGGAAAAGCCCAGAAACCAGGCAGAAACCCAAGAGGGGGCAGCCAGGCCAGTTTCCCCTCCCGCTGTCGCCCCATGTGGGGACCGACCTCTACTCACTGTCTGTGTGGGGACCCGGGCGTCCAGTGGGCCCAGCGCTCCTGTTGCTGGGCTGTGGCCTCCTGATGCGTCGGGGCGCTCAGCCGGGGCTCCGGGGGCAGGTCTGTGGGGCACCCCGTGACGGGGCGGGGCCCCTGGGGAGGATCCTGCCAGCCCCTGGATTCCTCAGGGCCGCAGGGGTGGAGAGCTGGTTGGGCCGGTTTAGGTTCCCCACCCACCTCCCCAGGTGCCTGCCGGTGCCCCTGGAGGGTGACAGTGATGTGGTAGCGGGTCCTCCTGGCAGAGGGACACTGGTGTAGGGTCCGGGCTGGATGTGGCAGGGCTGGCCCTGGTGTGACAGCCTTGCCCTTTGCCCCCGCTGCCGTGGGGAAGGATGCTGGGCGGGGCAGCAGGTTTTCCAGGTTGCCTGGTGGCTCAGGCCTCACAGGAACCTCGGGGTCAGTGCCTGGGGGTTGCAGGCAAGTGCAGCCTGGGGTTCCTTGCTCCAAACTTCCAGGAGCTGGCACCGGGCATGAGGGGCTCTCCAGTCCCACGGAGACATAGTTGGCCAGGTCAGAGGCACTGCCCACAGCTGGCCTCTGTAGGCGCCCCAGGGGCTGAGGGGGCTCCCCTGAGCTGTGTCGTCTCCTCCAAAGCCAGGAACCACGGCTCCCTGCCCGAAGGTCCCATTCTGAGCAGCTGTGGGATTGGGCCTAAGGGAAAGCAGAGGCAGGGGACTGGTGACGGCACTTCTCCCTACCCTCCAAGCACCCTCATCACCCTTGACTGCCCTCCTGGGCACAGCAGAAGCTGAACAGGGCTCTGACACCAAGCAGAGCTGCCCTAAGGGCCACGAGAACTGGACAAAGGGTAGAGCTCTGGGAAGGCGCTCAGCATTTCACTTACCGCCTTCCATTCTGCATATGAGGGAAGTGAGGCCCAGAGAGGACACTGACTTGACTAAAGTCACTCAGTGAGGGCTCAACTCTCAGGCCAACTGCCACCTTCCCAGGCATCCACAGGCCTCTGGCCCTTTGGCAGCAGCTTCTCTGGGGATTAAGGGCTGCATGGACGTGCCTGGTACGAGTGTCTATGGCCTCTGCCCACTCCAGGCTTCCAGAGAGCCTGTAGCCAACCCCCCCACCCCAGTCCCCCCGCAGCCTGAGATTCCCAAGCACACCTGGGAGGCACCTGGGCATAGAGATGTACCTGGGCCATGAGGGATCCAGGGAAGAGGGTTCCCCTGAAAGTGGGACAAACCTACCTCCATCTGCTATCTTCCCCTGGAGCCCAGCCTGGCTGTGGGAGTGAGGGGAGAGGGCCATATGGACACTGCCCCCAAACCACTAATTTTCAGGGACAGGTTTGTGTCCTTGGCAATAGAGGAGCCAAGTCTGGGGTCAAAAGTCCTCCTAGCAGGGGCCCTTGATCCCAAATACCTCGATTTACTCATCTGTGAAATAGGTTACAGCCTCTTGCTCCCCAGGGGCCAAATACCTCAAGAGACAGGAGGGCACCATGATTAATATGGGGGCCTGGAGCCAGGCAACCCAGGCTCAAATCACAGCTCTGCTACCTCCTAGCCACAATCTCAGTTTCCTCATGTGTAAAATGGGTATGATAATAACAGCACCTGCTTCCTGGGAGTGCTGCGAAGTTGGTATGAGATAAGCTGTGCAGAGGAACCAGCACATAATGAGTACTCAATTAAATGCGAGTAATTACTAATGGTATTCAGGACCACAGACACATGGCTGCTTGAGCCACCGCCAGAGGAGGCCTTCTGCTCCTCCAAAGGGAGGACGCCCTGTTACTGTTCAAGCCATGGCTCAGGTCCCCACTGAAGATGGGAAAACTGTGGCCAGAAGGTTAAACCGCCGTCCAGCTTCACCCCTGGGGCTCTGTGCCAGGAAGTGGGGAAAAGGGGCCAGAGAGGAGACAAGGTCAAGCTAAAGGAGGGAGTGCAGAAAGGGGGCTCCTGGGCATAGGCACTGAGTAGGAAGCTCAGGCTTCCGGAGCATCTAGGCCCCTTGCTGGATGTCCTCCAGCCATGACTTTCTTTCTCACAACAACTCTGAGCGGCATTCTTGTCCCCATTTTGCAGATAGGGAAACTGAAGTGGGGAGTGATCTCCGCAGGGTCACACAGTGAATCAGTGGCAGAGGGAGGATTAGAGAGCTCCAGGTGCCTAACTTGTAAGTCAGGGTTCTCAGGGCTGGCCCAGCCGCTCCCAGAGCTTCTCACCCCCCTCCCTCCCCTCCTACCCCTTCGGATTCTCTCTTACCTTGAGGCTGACATTGCTGGTGCTGCGCAGGCCCTGGGCTAGGTCAGGGCAGCTCCGGCCACCCCAGGGCCTGGGAAGGAAGCACAGGGAAAGGAGTGAAGTAGCCTCTTCCCCTCCCACCCTCAGACTGGACCCTGGGGCCCTCCCCTACTTCTCTCAGGGCACATAGGCAGGATGAGCTCCTGAAACCTTAGGAGTGGGGCAAGGTCTATGCAGCAGCCTCCCCTCTGCTCCCTCCTCCAGCTCTCTACTCCCCAAAAGAGAGAAAGAGACAGGAGATGAGCTTGAGACAAGAGTGGGGACTAGGTCTGTAGCAGGACCAGAATATAGAAAAAGGACAGCGCCTCAATAATTCCAAAGCCTGCCATTTGCTGAGGCCCTCCCAGCGCCAGGCTTAGCCTTAGGTATGGCGCTCACGTGATCTCCTTCAAGCTTCACAATAATCCTAGAAGGTGGATATTATGTCCCTATTTTTCAGATAAGGAAACTGAGGCCCAGAAAGGTGAAGTGACTTGCCTGGAGTCACACAGCTGGTGAGCCTGGGAGTTAGGCACTAGGACTGTCCCATTCCAAAGGCTGGTTGGACATCATGGCACTAATGGGGGCAATATGGGGAAAAGTGCCTTGACCGCCTACCCCCCCTTCCCCGCTCCCCCCACCAAAGCAATCAGCGGGGCCCAGAGAGGCCTGTGCCTTAGTGCTGGAGTCCCATTACCACATCTGGTGAGAACCCAGTACAAGTGCACGCATGGGATGTATCATCACGCTGACCCATAAGCATGCACAGTCCCTCCCCTGTCCTCCCAACCCCTGACTCACCAGCATGCCAACACTGCCTCCTCTCAAGTGGGGAAAGGGAGGGGCAGTGCCACTGGGGCCTATAGGGCAGGTTCCTGCCAGACCAGGTAATGGGAGAGGGCGTGGCTTCCAGGTGGGGGCGGGCAGGGCAGTGGCAGGGTGTGGGTACCCCCTGGGGCAGCCAGGCTTCCAGGCTTTCCAGGGTGGCTAGGCCCTCCCCTCCCCTCCCCCTTTGGTGTGAGAGAGCAGTACAAACAAACCCCTCCTCTCCCTCTGCACCAGCCCAGGCCTCAGGTACCTCACCCCTCCCAGGGCTGCTAAAAACAGCTGTGTCATGATAAGATCAGAACAAATTGCCTGGTAACTACACAGACACATAACACCCGGTGCCTGTGAGCACATTCCATGCTCTTTTCAGATACAGGGCCTGTGAGCCACTGGGGGCCTCTTCACTATCCCCCTCCCAGCCATTCAGCTTTGCCATCCACAGCCTTTTTCCTTCCACTTAGACAGTAGCTATCAGTGAGTGGGCTCAGAGAGAGGAAGCAATTTGTTCCAGGTGACCAGGCCAGGGGCACCTAGGGTGAGGACTGAAGTCTGGCCCCCCTGGCTTGCCGTCCTGAAATCTCCCCAGGCAAGAGAGCAGCCCAGTGCTTCAGGACACGGGGCTCTGGAGTCCGACTGCTTAAGCTCTAACCCTGCCCCCACCACTTCCCAGCTGTGTGACTGGGCAGGTGACTTCACCTGTCTGAGCCTCCGTTTCCACAACTGAATCACATGAACTACCTGCCTCATGGAGCTGCTATGAGGATTAAATGAGATAATCCAGGTAAGGCACGATGCAAGGGGCACATAAAGGTTTGTTGTTACTACAGTCTGGGATGACAGGGGAAACCGGCCCCGTGGCATCTGAGGGCAAACGCAGCGCCGTCTCCTACAAAGCAGGTGCCTGTCATGCTCACGACAAAGGGAATGCAGACCAGAGGGAAACTGGCCTGTGACGTGACAAAGTCCACAGGGGCAGGGGGAGCTCCTACGTTTGCCCTTAAACTGGCTCTGGAGAGGAAATCATTATCCACGGGCCGTCGCCTGACTTCGGGAATTGCAAAAGTTATTCCAAAGTTTTAAAAGAGCGCGGGTACTTTCTAAAGACCATGTTCCCATTCATATATCCAAAATCGTAGTACACTGACACGTATATTTTTATGCTCTCAGACACTCATACACGCTTTTTTGAACATCCACTACCCTCTAACACACACACACATACACACACACACACACACACCCCTAGGGTCCAGTGGCGCCCCTGCAGCCCTCCTCCATCCCCCTCACCTATCCCGGGCTCTGGCCTCCTCCGGGGTCCGCTTCCCCCGGCGCTCCCTCCGGAGCCCTAGTCTGGCCAAGCCGCGGGCCAGGCGCGCCCCCAGACTCCCGTGCCGCTCGGCCATGGCCAGGGCAAGGCCCCGGGCTCCCGGGCACCACAGCGCTCCAGGGCCACGGGGGCCACCCGGATCCGCTCCTCAGCAGAGAAACGCCTTCTCCGGCCCGCCCCCTTGAACAAACAGCGGCCCCGCCCGCAGTCCGTGCGGGCGGGGGACTGACCCAGAGGCGGCCCTTGCCCCAGGACATGGGGTGCGTTCTGCAGGGGTCGCTCCGCCTGTGCCCCACTTCTCCTCCCCGCTCTTGCCGTGCTCTCCGCAAAGTCCGCGCTACTTCTTTAGGTCTCGGGAGGCTCCAGGGGCACACCGGGGGCGAGTGGCCCCCAGGCTGGCCTTGCACGAGGTGGGCAGGAAAGGGGAAACTCGGACGAGCGGGGGGGGCCGGACGCGGGGCTGAACGAGGGTCGTCTCTCCCCCCGAGGAGGAGGGGCTAGAACGCGGGGGCGAGGTCAAGACGCGAGGGGGCATCGTCTTGTCGAGTGGATGGGGCCTAGCCCGAGGGGTTGGCCTCTGGCGCAGGGCCAAAGGGGTGACGGGGTGGGCTTTAAACCCGGACCTTGATTAGGGGACGGGAGAGGCCGAAGCCGACCCCGCCGTTGCCCCGCCGCGGTGGGCTCCTGAGAGTACTCGCGCGCTCCTGGAGAGCGTCCGACACAGCGCGAAGCTCTCCCAGTCCCCGGGTGGGGAAGTCGCTTTCAAACCCCTGCGGGCGCGAATGGAGGCCCCTGCTGGAAGCTGGCCAGCCATTATTATTTAAGAATTTTATTTTTTATTATTATTTTTTAAATTTTATTTATTTGAGAGAGAGAGAATGAGAGACAGAGAGCATGAGAGGGAGGAGGGTCAGAGGGAGAAGCAGACTCCCTGCTGAGCAGGGAGCCCGATGCTGCGGGGCTCGATCCTGGGACTCCAGGATCATGACCTGAGCCGAAGGCAGTGGCTTAACCAACTGAGCCACCCAGGCGCCCCGGCCAGCTATTATTATTTAATAATAACTACTGTTTATTGTGATTATAACCTGGGTCTCCTGCTCCCAGGCAGTAAGTACCCTTTCCCACCTGATGCTAACTCCCGATTCCCCCGGGGGGTGCAGAATACCTTGCACATCTGAGGGGATCCTCTGGGACTGCAGGGAGAAAGGTCACTAGGAGGGCCCTAGTTCCTCAGTTTCTCTTTGCCAGTTCTTCCCTTATACTCCTTGTAGGGCCTCTACGCCTTCTGTGGACTCCTACCTCCTTAGCCCTTTGCCTTCTGTGGTGAGTGGTCCTGGCACACAGGACGACCTCGTGCTTCTGAGTCATGAATGGACATTGACTTTGTGTTCCTGCCCCTCTACCCCCAACGGGGGGCTCAGATCCTGGCATGTACAGAGGGAGAAGCACACCCCACCTACCTGACCATGGCAAGGAGTACCAGCTAAGGAGGCACACTGGCTTCCTAGGAGCTGTGAGACAGGAAGGTGGTGGGAAGCAGCAGACATACATCTGGGCAGGTGCTGGAATATCTGCTCAGGAAAGAGAGCAGTGCGCCCAGTGCTTGGCAGCGTAGTCTGCACCATGCAGAGACCTGGAAGGCTGGACTATCCATGGGCAAGCTGAGATGGGAGGGTGAAGTCCCAGACACGGAGAAGGACCCAAATCCAGCTGATGTGGATGGCTGAAAGCACCCACCCCGTGAGCGGGCATCACAGGCTCTCCCTGGCTGTGTTCTCTGACCTGCTTCTAGGTAATGTGTGAAGTCTGACAGATACACAGTTGCTTCCTCCCTCCCCCCTCCCCCGCCACTGCTGAAGTCCGGGAGGCCTCAACTCGCCATAGTTGAAAATCCTTTAATTGCTCTGCTCCTGCCCCCTCCCCGGGGCAGTCCTGGCACCAGGACTCAGGCTGGCTGCCCATACTTTCCCCCAGATGCCAAGGACACCTTGACCTTTTCCAAACCCCAGCCCATCTGCCTCTCCAATGGCAGCCCCACAAGATCTAGGGCTTCCTGGTGCCATCGGGCAAGGCAGGCAAGAGACGCCAGGGGCAGGTGGGTGTGTGCTAGGCCACAAGGCCGTGCAGGCGGTGGTGCAGCTTCAGGTGAACATGCTGGGTGAAGCGCCGGGGACAGACACTGCACCAGAAGGGCCGGGCCCCCGAGTGCAGGCACAGGTGGGTCTTGAGGTTGCTGGAGTTGCTGCAGCGTTTGTGGCACATCTGGTGGGAATGGGCACTGGTGTCAGCTCCGCCCACCGGGCTGGCTCAGGATCTCTGCTCCAACCCCCCGCCCCGGGCACCCCTCCCCCCACACCACCTGCTTGTAACGCTGGCCCAGAAGATTTCCCTGATGATTTCTCCCTGGGACCCAGGGAGACCTGGGTTAGTATCCTGGTTCTTACTCCCTGTGTGACCTTGCATAGGTGCCGTCTCCTGTCTGAGCCTCGTCCTCCTTATTGGTAACATGTGACTATTAATCCCTAACCTCGGAGGTATGACGGACTGAATGAGATCATCACATAGGACCCTTAAGCATGGGCCTACAGCTTTCGTGGGCGTAATTAACATTTACTGGGAGCTGCCGCATGCCAGGAATTGGTCTCACAGAGTCTTCCCCGGGACCCTGGAGAAGCAGGACTAAGTCCTAGTATAACTCCTCTATTACAGTGAGAAAGCAGAGGCTCAGAGGAGGAGAGCCACTAGCCAAAGGTCACACAAGTTGGAGGGAGAACTGGGATTTGAACCCAAGTAGCCCAGACTTAGAACCACGATGCTTCTTTCATGTCTGCCTCTATAAACTGGGGAAAGAATTCCTGCTGTTCTGACCTCCCAAGGGATGTAGCAAGACTCAAAGGGAGAAGGAGCTAACATCGAGCTGTGTTATCTGTAGTGTTTGTGTACTTTGCACACACGAGGCCCTTTACTTCTCCAGCAACCCTGGGGAGCAGGTTACGGGTATCCACTCTCCAGGACTCCCCAGCTTTATTATCCTCCTCCCGTAGACGTACATCTCCAGGCCTGGGGCGGGACCTCCAGTCTCACGTTCTGGCCCTTCCAGGCTGACAGGTCATTTTTACCTCCCTCCACCTCCCTCCCTGCCTCCACCCTTGCCTCCAGTCCCGTCTCCACTTGCTCAGGAGCATTGGTGAATGGAGGCTACAGGGGCCATCTGTCCAGGGGCCTGGAACTACTCACCAGTCTGCAGGAGTACAGGGGAGGGGAAGTAGGCTCTCACCAGGCATTCATGGGGCCGCTTCCCAGTATGCACTAAGTGGTGCTTCTGCAGGTGGGCGAGCTGGGTGAAGCTCTTCTGGCACAGGGCACACTGGAATGGGCGCTCCCCACTGTGCACACGCAGATGGACCTGAGCCAGGTGTGGGAGAAAGGCTGCCAACTGCCCAGAACCCTCCAGCAGGGCCTGGGATCCTGTCCAAATCTCTCCCCACAATCCCACAGGACCCCTGTTTCGCATCAAGGATTCTCAATCCCCTTGCTACCCTATCACTGCCCTCAGGGCCTCTCTTCCATTCTCCAAGTTACCCTCACTCTTTCTGGTGCCCCGTGGGAGGGGAGGTGACAGTGGTCAGAAGGCTAGGTAAGGGATAGCCCATGTATATATATCCTGAGCAGTGCTGCGCAAAGTGTTGTCCACAGGGGCGCCTGGGTGGCTCAGTCAGTTAAGCGACCAACTCTTGGCTTCAGCTCAGGTCGTGATCTCAGGGTTGTGAGATCAAGCCCTGCGTCGGGCTCCATGCTTAGCTCAGAGTTGGCCTGGACTCTCTCTCCCTCTACCTCTGCCCCTTCCCCCTGCTCTCTCTCACTCTCTCTCTAGAATAAATAATCTTTAAAAAAAACACACACATTTATTTATTTGAGAGACAGCGAGCATGAGCAGAGGGAAGAGGTAGAAGGAGATGGAGAAGCAGGCTCCCCGCTGAAGAGGGACACCCCCCCCAATGCCGGGCTTGATCCCAGGACCCCAGGATCATGACTTGAGCCGAAGGCAGACACTTAACCAACTGAGCCACCCAGGCGCCCCCTAAAATAAATAATCTTGAAAAAAAAAAGTGTGGTCCACAGACCAGCAGCATCAGCACCACCTGGGAGCATGCGAAAAATGCAGATTCACAGGTCCTGCCCCGGACTAGCTGAATCAAAATCTCTGGGGCTGGGACCTAGGAATCTGCATGTTTCCTAGCTCTCCAGGTTTGAATCTCATTACAGCTTAAGAACGCACACCCTGGAGGACCCCGAAGGGCCGTTCCTCAACAACCATAACTTTTCCTCAACTTCAGTGTTGCCAACATGTGCATAGATCCCCATCTTTGCTGACACAGAGAGATGGGCCCGGGTGCTCCCTCTCGGCGGCGTGGATGATGACACCAACAGCAACACGCTGCTTTGTAGGATCCCACGTGAAAAAGGCTGGTTGTCAGGTCTGTGACCTAGACTCACTAAAATCTACCCGCTCCCCCACTGGACCTTCAAACAAATAAGCAAGAGGAGGCTTAACTGGGGATCTAGAAAGATGGTTGTTCAGGAAAGGGCTTTGCACTCGACATTGAGAGGCTACTATCAAGGCCTAACTTCACCATGAAATCAAAGTGACCTCGGGCAAACCTTTCCTTCAGTTTCCCCATTTTTGACTGAGATGAGATGCCCTCAGAGACAGTCTCTTAGGGTGGGGAGGACTTTGGTGGCCATCTCGTCCTGCATCTCCTCTCTGCAAACATGACAGTGAGGGGCCAAGCGAACCATCCCAGATCACAGCCTAGGGGTTGCCCAGGAGTTGCTCTGGCTTTCAGGTCCTTGATTCTGGAAGCAGGGTAGGAGGGGGTCATGGAAGGATGCTTTGGGGAGCCAGCGGAGCCCGGGAGGCAGATACCTTGAGGTTGGAGAGCTGTCCGAAGTTCTTGCTGCACACGTTGCACTCGTACAGGATCTTGCCGTTCTCTTTCTTCAGTGGGTAAGGCAGAGCTGTGGTGCCTGGCCGGGAGCCCGCAGACGCCCGCCTTGCTGGAGCCGCCCTGCCCACGCTCTTTGGCCCTGGGGAGTGGGTCCTGGCAGCTCCAGGACCTCGACTCCGGGCCTGGGAAGGTTGGCTTTGGCCAGAGGCTTGGGGGGCCCCTGGGTAAGGATACAGTGTCTCCCTCTGGGCAGTAGGGTGCCCGGGCTCACTGATACTCATCAGCAAGCTGGGCATAGCCATGTTGGGGTCGGAAGGGTCTGGGGGCAGCATGAAGAGGAGGGGGTATTGGACAGAAGGTAGGGCCCCATAGGTGAACAGGTGAGGTGGAGGCAGAAGTGGGTACTCAGGGTAGAAGGAGTGGAGGGAGAATGGGAGTTCTTTGGAGATGGGAGTGGGCAGTGGGCAGGAGCAGGGGGTTGGCAAAGAGCCGCTGTGAGGAGAGAATGATGGGCGGAGGGCCCCCTCGCCGGCTCTTTCCTGCTGGCTTCCCCTCTTGTCCCTGCTCGCAGGGTACTTGGCCATGAGTTTCTCATCAGTGGAGCCGGCCTGCAGCCCTGGTGGCTGGTGCTCTGAGCAGGAAAAGAAACACTGGTCAGGGCCCTGCAGCCTGGGGGAAAGTTCTGTTCCCCATCTAACCGGGCCGCTAGCTAGCTCGGGGTGGGGGCGTGCTCTAGCCTGCAAGCCTGCTGGATGACCCGGGCAGGCGTTGTCCCTCCCTGAGCCTCCCTGGTCTGCACTTGCCCACAAAAGCAGCTAGTGTTTATGCAGCGCTCAACAATTTTAGGGAGAGAAAATGATTCGAGAAGCTTTTTAGACACCCAGGTGGAAAAGTCAAGTAGGCAGCTGGATGAATTGGTCTGGAGTTTGGTTGGTTGGTTGGTTGGTTGGTTGGTTGGTTAGTTTGGAGTTTAAAGGAGACATCCAAGCTGAAGACACACATTTCGGTGCCAGGAGCCCTGCCTGATGAGACCACCTAAGTGTGAGTTAGATCTGCTGTGTCCAAAATTGGTGGTCACTTGACACATGTGATCCCATTTCAATTAATTAAAATAAGTACGATAAAAAATTCAGCTCCTCACTCACACAAGCCACATTCAAAAGGCTCGGTAGGTATGGCAGCAAACAGCACAAGCATAGATGGTGGCCCTGATTGCAGGAAGTCCTATCAGACTGTGCCACTCTCCCTGAAGTGGACAAGAGAGGAGAGGAGGGAAAGCAGAGGAGAGAGGAGACCAAAGCAGGGGAGGGGAGGGCAGAAGGCTCTGGACTGAGTTCAGAGCGTGGGGATATTTAGGAGGTAAGCAGGGAAGAGCTAGCAAGGGAAGTGGAGACGCAACAGCCAGGGAGGGGGGAGATAAGCCAGGAGGGACGTAAAGTGAGATACTAAAAAGAAAAAATGCCACAAAGTAGACTGTCTGCTTGAATCCTCATTTATTCACTCCACCAACCTCACTGAACCGCTTCACTCTGCGCTCCGTGCTGACATGGCCACATAGTTCCCGCCCTCCAGGAGGCCACAAGCGTGTAAGGAAACGGTGCATTACAAAGCAACAAATCTAGAACAGATCCTACTCACCTGGAAGAAGAAACGGGACTCAGTGATGTGGCCGAAGTCGCAGAGCCAGAAAGAGCAGAACCAGGACTCCGCCCTCCGCTCGCTGGCCCCCAGTCAGCACCCCTATCTTATAAGGACCCCTCCAGCTCACACATTCTGGGCAGCCAAAGCACCATCCTCAATGCCTGGGACTTTGACTACACCTACTCCAGATCTCCCCACCCGAGAAAGCCCCTGTCCACCTCCTGTGGCTTAGGGGTTGCCCTGAAACCCCCCAACCCTCCCCACCCCGGACCAAGGCCAGGACTCCAGGCCAAAATGTGAGGCTCTGTTCTCACCGGTGACACTGGTCCCCTCCCTTTCCTGTCCTGGAACCTAAGAGTCCTCTCCCGCCTCCGGCCTCCATACAGCTGCAGTCCTCTGCCCTGGGCTTACTTGTGCTCAAGACATCGCATCTGACACTCTGTGGGGCTGTGCTCGGTGGTGTCGGCTGCAGGGTGCACAGATATAGGTCCAGGCCCTGGGGACAGGTCAGCAAGGCAGACCTGGCTGGTGCCAGGGGCAAGGGGTGCAGCCGGCTGGGGCATGATGAGCCACGGGCGTCCACTGTGTCGGAGAGTGGTGTGCAAGCTGAGAAGACCTGGAGGGCAGGAGGCAAGGGGCTTGGGGGTGGGAGCCTGGGGCACCTGTGTCCCTGGGTTGGTCCCAGCTCCAGTTTGATTTCCAAAGGAGAGGAGAAGCTAAAAGCCGCCCTCCACGTCCGCCACTCAAATGGCTTCCCCATCCCTCAGTCACAAATTTCTTTCCTCGGGGACTTTCAGGCCCATCCCAGGATTGCCCTCCTCCTACCCTCCAGAACCCCTCACCCACCTTCCCTTCCTGACTGTCCTGGTCCCACTGGGTCTCAGACTATCAACTGTGTTTTGAATGGAGCCAAGATGAACTCGGAGAAAATCCTCATCAAAGACTATAAGCCCCCAAGATAGCCCTGGGTTCCCCTCCCGCTAAGGCCCAGGCCATGGTCATTGAGCGAAGGTGTCCTACGGGCCCTATCCCTTCTGATGCCCCACAGGAGGACTCTGACCCCTGGGGCATGAGAGAGGGTCTCTGGCACCTCAAGGGCACATCCCCGCAAACTTCTGGGTGGGATACGGATGCTCAGGACCAGGGGACAATGGGAATCTGGTCCCTAAATATTTTCCCCCACTTCATCCTGACATCCTCTCCCTTCCATAATCGGGCTGACCTCAGAGATGGGGCTGGGCTCCCTCCTTACCTGGTCACCTTGGCAGAGCTGGAAGTCCAGGCTGCAGGACAGGGAGCCCCCTGTACTCCTCAGAGCTTTAGCCTTGTGGCAACAATTCAAGTCTGGAGCAGATTCCCCCTTCATGCCCCTACTACCTGGGAAGACAGGTCAGTCACCGGTGAGCAGTGAAGGACCTCCAGATAGGAGCCTGGCTTCTAGAGCTGACCCTTCCACTAAACCATCATGTGACCTTGAGCCAGTCACTGCCCCTCCTGGCCTCAGTTTCCCTGTCTGCAAAACACGAGGGCTGGACAGGCTGATGTGGAAGGACTCGGTACTGACATTTCGAGGCCAGTGACGCCCTCTGGGTAGGTGCCAGAAGAGGGTTGAATGGAGACAGTCAAGGGTGAGGAGCAGAGCTGGCCTTATCATCATCCCTAGGGAAGAGGAGAGAGAGGAAGGTCCTCATGGAGGTTACTTCTAAGTGAGCTCAGAGACCTGAAGGAACATTCCAGATTTCCTGGGGGACACCAGGAATTGAGAAGCCGCTCCCTTCCATGCCGGGAGGGACTTCACCTCCATGACTCTGCCAACCACAGCCCCCCCCCCATCAAGGGGTGCTCCTGCACCCTCGATCATCCACATAGCTTTTCTGGGCAGCTGAGGAAGCCCTAGGGTCCTGCCACCCAGACTGCCCAGGCTCAGCTCCCTCACCAGGGACAGTCTGAGAGAGTAGGCCAAGAACCCTCTGGGTCCCCTGACTTGCCTGACAGGAAGATGCCCTGATTCCTCTGCTGCCTGCTCAGTTAACACCCCGCTTCTCCACCTTCTTTCACTGAAAGCCACACAACACAGGGACCACCTCAGCTCAACCAAGTGCCCACGGTTCCTTCCCGTTCTCCTCTCCTCTCCTTCTCAAGCGCCCCTGGGGCCCTAGCACATTCACTCGAGGATCTTGGCCTTGCAAAACCCCGTCTCCTTTTTCTCTTCCCTGACTCCTCCCAGCCCTGCCCAGCAGAGGCCCTTCACCTGCCTGCATGAGGCTCTTCACCTGGCTCTGCACAGCTTCCCTCTGGAGGATGCAAGGAGGTGGGCAGGCAGACAGTCACTGTGGCTGGGGCCCCGGTGAGTGTGAGAGATGACAGGAAGGTGTTATATTTGAAGTTGCCACTTCAAATAGGAAGAAGAGGATAGACAGGCAGGCAGGAGGCCCTGCAAGACCTGATGAGAGGTCTTGCCCTTCCCCACCTGTGACAACTCCACAGGACAATGTGCTGATTTTGGACCACCATGAACTGGGGCTACTGGAACGTCAGTGTGTGGAGGTGGGGTGGGGTGGGGGTTGCTGTGTCTGGTTCTCAGAGAACCCAGATGGCTGAGTCCAAGAGGGACAGAGCAGGGCTGAAAGGCTGGAGCTGGGGTCCCTCTGGAGATGGGGGCCCAGCCGAGATAGAGACAGGCAATGATGATGACAGCAAAGACAGTGATGGTGATGCAGGGACAGGAACGGGCACAGACACAGAGCAGGCAACACAGAAGGACATGGGGTGAAGCAGAGAAGAGAGTAGGAATCTGGTCTCACAGAGCAGAAGCCCACGAAGCAGCAAATACACCTTCCTCTTTCTTGTCCCAACTCTGGTCTGCCTATCCCGAGAATCCCTTTCTCTAATCCAGATACAGCATTGAGGCCCCAGCAGGGACAAGAGGTACTTCAAGGACATTGCAAAATGCTTGTAGGGCATGATGAGATATCAACAGAGAAGCTCCATTAGCCAGGAAGCAGCTTTTTAGGCCAAGCGATTTCATTACTTCTGTGAGCAAGAAAAGGTGCATCATTTCTGGAGACTCGAATTCTGCCCAGTTGGTGTGTGTCTGTGTCACACAGTCTGACCCAGTGTGACAGCCCCAACTAGTCATCAAACTCCACCCAGCCATTACATCTAGGTGGCCTGGAGCACAAGGGGACATCTTGGACTCTCCGACATGGGCTGGAGCCATGTTATCAGTGTTTCTCTGCCAACCCCGCCCCTGGCTGCTGATCACCTCCACTATGGCTGCCTTCACTTCCTATCATAATTATCTTCCCACATAACTGACTCCTGCATGTCTGGGAGTGTCTCAAGGACAGGGACCCCTGTCTACTCATTTTTGTTTCCTGTGCAGACATCTGTTGGGTTTTCTGGATGCCCAGCTTGTGGAGCTTCCCCCGACATGAGTCTACAGGGAGGCAGAAGGCACCTCCCACTATAAAAGCCAAAAAATAAAATACAATAAAATCTTTAAAAAAATAATGAAAATAAAAGCCACAATGGCCACACACTTAATTCCGACCTCCCTATCCAAGCACATGATGCAGACATATGACATCGACTGGGCCAATTGGATACCCCTATCCAGACAGGATCAGAAGTCAGTGGCCCTGAAGTGGCAGGTCCGTGGAGACTCCACTCTGCACATGATGCCGCATCGGCTTCCAGGGCAGCAGAGGAGAGAAAAGGGTTCAGAGGAGGTGGCAGAATCCTCTGGGGGCTGGTCCTGAGGCGTGTGGTCCTGGGGCTCCCAGCTTCCCCTGATCCAGCCTGTTCTCCAGGCCTGCCTCTGCAGCCTTTCCAGACATTCTGGGAGTTTCCTCAACAACTTTTAAACAGACTTACTGTTCTTTCTTTCTTTCTTTTTTTTTTTTAAAGATTTTATTTATTTGACAGAGAGACACAGCGAGAGAGGGAACACAAGCAGGGGAAGTGGGAGAGGGAGAAGCAGGCTTCCCGCGGAGGAGGGAGCCCGATTCGGGGCTCGATCCCAGGACCCTGGGATCATGATCTGAGCTGAAGGCAGACGCTTAACGACTGAGCCACCCAGGCGCCCCAAAATGGACTTAATTTTCCTAAATCCTCCTGAAAGTGTTTCTATAGCTTAAACAAAGAATCCTACATAATATATGCCCAGAACAGAAGATGAAGCAACAGGATTCAGGCTGGAAGAGCCAAGGATCTGAGTGGTTAGTTACCTGTACAAACAGCTTCCTGCCTTTCCCAGATTCATGGAGGAGCTTGCAGCACCCCTTGCTGTCTTGACCCACCCAAACTCCATGCGCCCAAAGCTGGAGCCCTCCCAGCCTCCAAGGCCACAAGCCTGCCTCCCCTACCGCCTTGCTGGAATCACAGGGGGGCACCCACAGAAGGCCCTAGTCTCACCTCCCGAGGAGGAGTCACACACACGGTTGGCTTCCATCTCCCACCTGCCAACTCCACCCCCTCCTGGCATGACACTCTGCTCCCAATTCTCAAAAAAGTCTGGAAAACCTCTTGGTTAGAAACAAAAAGGGAAGTGGTCTTGGAGATTTCTGGATCTCCAATCCCTGAAAGGCCCAGCTAGGAATGTCCTGGGAGGCAGGCTGAGGACACAGTCCCTCAAGTTCCCGCCCTAAACAGCTTCTACCTGCCAATCCCTTCCTTGCTCCCATCTCCTGCGCCCTGCTAGGTCTTCTGTCCTGTCAGCCTCCGGGTCCACTATGATGTCATTAGCCCAACTGTGATGTCACCACATCTGACATCCCTGGGGTGGGTGGCACAGGCAGAGGATGACAGCCTCCTCGCCAGGGAACCTGGGTAGATGCCTGGACCCGGATAAGAGACCCAGGCCAAGCCAAGCCCTCAGGGAGCAGAGGGAGTTTGGGGAAGTGCTTGTGGAGGGGAAATGGGATTTGGGGCCTATGATTCCAGGGTCAGCGGGAGACACCAGAGAGGACTCTGACAAGAGCTGGAGGGCTGGACAGAGTTCGTCAGGCTCCCGGCTCATGCACACTTATTTTCTTCCTCTTTCTGTTAATGACAAAATAAAACATACTAAGGGTAAACATTTCAAACAGCAGTGAATAAAAAGACAAAAATGGAAGCTCCCCTCCTTCACAATTTCCCCGTGGCCAGTGTGAATAGTTTAGTGTTTATCCTTCCAGACGTTTACCTATGAACCTACAAACAAGTAAGTGAACGTTTTCATTTTCTTTTTATGTAATAGGATTATACGATGCAAATACTGTTGTGCAGTGCTCTCTCTACCCAACAGTCTACTGTGGCCATCATTTCATGCAGAACATACACAGCTGCCTCTTGCTTTTTCCTGACTACACAGTATTCCTCTGCAGGGATGGACAAACTATGTGGCATTCCTGTATTGTGGACTCCCAGTTTTTCCCTGTTCCATGCAAGACTGGAAAAGACCTCCATACGGAAGTAATATGCGGAGTGATTAAGAATATTTGCTCTGCTGGACTTAATCCCAGCTCTGTGACCTTATGGCAAGTCACTTAACCTCTCTGTGCCTCTTTCCTCTTCTGTCAAATGAGGATAATAATAGTACTTGCTTTACAGGGTTCTTTTGAGAATTCCTCAAGTTAATTCATGTAAAGCTCTTAGAACAGTGCCTGGCCCAAAGCAAGCACTTGACAAATGTGGGTTAATATTAATATTGTACATCAATCTTTGCTTAGTTAGGCAAGTATCTGCAAGTCAGCTTCCTAATAGTATTAAAGTTGTGATGAATGTTCCTGGCTCACTCTGGAAGACCAGAATTTGAGCCTCACACTTGGAAAGATTAACTACATTCCGTTTTATTCTTTAGCCCCTAGTTGGAGACCACTGCACTCACCCAATGCTGTCCTGCCTCCATGCCAGTCTTCACACCACAGTAATTATAGCTTTTGGCATTTGGGCGCTTACCATGTGCCAGGAACCCTGCAAAGCGTTTCAACATGTTTTGCTCAACTCAATCAGCACAATGAGCCTCCAAGATGAATGCTTTTATTCCTGTTTTACAGGCAAGAAAACTGAAACTCGGAGAAGGAAAGTGACTGACTCAAGATCACATGACCCAGGTTGGGAATGCCGTGTCCCAGAGAGGAAGGAGAGCTCAAGGAAGAATTGCTAGAGGGGCACCTTGAAGAGGTAAAAAGAGCCACAAGTGTGGTACAGTAGAGTCTGGATTCCCATCAGGACTATGAGAACTATGTCTCAGGCATTGGACTGGTCGCTGGGAATATAGCCCATGGGAATATGACCTAGACCTTGGAAATCCACAGGCTTGTTGGATGCTGCTGAAATAGAAAGTGGGATGCAAGTCTCAGGACTTATTATCTGTAGAACAGG